CCAGATCCAAGCATGGGCAAAGCAAGAGATTCCTGCCTCAGCACTGGCAAAAAGATCCCTGCAATCCCCCTCTGATCAGCCACTCTATTCCCCCTCAGTCTGTAGACCAGCAGCTCAGGACACAGCCACCGCCCTGGCGCCCACGCTCTATGCTCTGGAACTGGCTCTGAGACCTAGCTCCTCTCTCACCACAGAAACAGACTTTTCCCACTGACCTTCTAAGTTGTCTTTGGCATTCTTGGGTTGGGAAGTCTGGAATCCACCATAGCTGCCTGCGATTCAGTCCTCTGAGGCCTGCTCTAGGTTTGCTGTGGCCTGCGCACCCACGCCACACTGTGCTCCTCTACAAGCCCTGCACGATATACCTTTCTGGTCAACCATCCAGGCTGTCTTGGGCTGGAAATTTGCTTCACTCTGTCTTTTTGTGGGTTCTGCTGCTTTAGAATTTGTTTAGAGCCATTTTTTTACTGGTATTTGAAGGGTTTGGGGGAGAGCTCAAGCAAGTCACTGCTTTCACTCTGCCATCTTGGCTCTCCCTCTGTGCTAAACACTTTGCAAATATTATCTCATTTGATTTAAAAAAAAAAGTTCACAAAAGCAAAGGAGGACATATGACCCATGGTATAGTGGAAAGACCATTGGATTCAGAATCAGAAGATCTGGGTTCAAATTCTTGCTATATCACTGATACTTCCTGGGTCACCTCTTGTGGCCTTGGTTTATTCCTTTGTAAAATGAAAGTCTGGATGACTACGAAGATTCCTATCAGCTCTAGTTATTGTCATTTCTTATCCCCTCTATTAAACAACAGCCTGCATGAATTTAGACTATTACATTATTCACTTGCGTGTGTCCAGCACTTAGAGCCATGGCAGCCGGCCCAGAACTGTGTAAGAAACTTTTTTTATTTTAATTGAGCTCAGTGACTTTTCCTTTAGTTTTCATAGTTGTAGAAGTAGTTGTTGTTTATGCAAATATCCCTTATTAACACCTCTCAGTTGTTCTTGCTTTAGAGAATGTGGCCAGAAACTATAACCTTCCTTGACAAATCTTGCCTCTATGCAAATGACCATTCATTACCACAAACTAACACTGCTTAGAACATCACAGCTTTAGGACTGAATGGGATCCTCAAGGTCACCCAGCCTCATACCCTCATTTGACAGATGAGGAAACCAAGGCCCTGAGAAGCTTAGGCAAGATCACATACATTCAGCGCCAGGCCTGAGACTCAAACATTCCCCATTTCAAATCTGCTCCTTCCTCCGTACACTACTGAAGTAAGCTATGTTAGTTTTTCCTTTCATAACAAAATCTTCATAATGCACAACTCAGATCCTTTCATTTCCACCCCGATTCCCCCTCCACAATGTCTAATGAATGAAGGCCATACTTTTGAGTAGAGCCTTCAAAGTCCTCAACTATCTGGCTTCAGTGTTTCCTTTCATCACACACTACTCTTACTGATCCAGGAAGCTGTAGCATGCATACGGGCCACACCCCAGTAAAGCCTTCTTGCCTGATCAGCTAAACCAGGCTGACAGTAACAGATAAGCTTCACACCCACTGGTGAGTTGGGGGATGTCTCCCTCAAGCATGTGAAGATTTCCCCTGGAGGACTGGCTGGGCAAGAACAATTTGTTTCAGCAGCCATGAAAGGTGCCGAAGCAGGTGATGTGAAGGGCTCAGAGCTTGGTCAGCCACTGAAGACACCAAGGTCATCCACTGCAACCCGGGCCATTGCTAGCTGTCCTGACTTTTGTCTTGCCACTGGACTTCAATGATTCTGGAAGAGAGAGTGAGGCTGACAACTTTACGCAACTCTGTCTCACTTAAATCCAATTTACACCCATCCCATTGTGATGTCATTGATCCTCTTCAAAAATGAAGGATTAACAACAACAACAACAACAACATTCTCCCTATCTGTTGGGTCCTTCGTGGACAGATTTGCCTTATTCTTTGAACACACATGCACGCATACATAGCCTTCACGAAAAGCTGCCATCCTTTAAGGTATCATCATATATCTCACCTGTTTTTCACTTCTATACTCTTAGAAACATTGTCTCCTCTTGATGCCTTCACTTTCCCACTACCCACTGACTTTTCAACCCTTTTGGTTTACTTTTTGAACCTAGCACGCTACTGAACATATTCTATTAACAGGTCATTCATTCATCAATGATAAATCAGCTGGTCTGCCTTCTCATTGTCCTTTACCTCTCCGTAGTAATCAACACTACTGACCACCCTCCTTCTCTTGAATACTTTCTCCTCCCTGGGTTTGAATGGATTTCCTTTCTTAGTTTTCCTACCATTATTGGTTCAGTCCTCTTTTCACCTCCTAAATACGGGTGTTACTTAAGACCATGGGTATTTTCACATGTTCCCACGACTGCAATTATCATCCCTGACCTCTCACCTGAGCTCTGGTATTTCCAACTCCTTGGTATTCTCTTCCACCTGGATATACTTCTGGGACTTCAAACTCAAAAGGTCCAAGCTAAACTCATCTTTCCACCTAAAACTATCCTTCCTCCAAATTTTCTCATTTCTGGTGATAGAATCATCACCTCCCAGTCATCCGGGCTTGAAACCTTGTAATTATTTTGGCTCTCCCTTCTCTCTCATCCTATACATCTGCTCAACTGCCAATTTCCATTCATTCTACTTTCACAACCTCTTTTGTATCTGCTCCTTTCTTTCCACTCCCCATTGCCACTACCCTGGAACACTCCCCAAATCCAAACCATCCTAAGAATTCTCATGGGTCCCTAATATCAAGTGTTCCTCTTCTCTCACTTGACCTTGGGTGGGGGGAGGAGTCACAATGACATTTGGGGCTGAAAGGGATTTTAAAAAATCATTTTGTGCTAATTCTACTTTTAACAGAAGGAAAATTAAGTCCAGAGAAGTGACCCACTAAGAATCAAGTAGGTAATAAATAGCAGGGGCTATTTTGTCTCAAAAGTCCTTTGACTCCAACTTAAGAAGAAATTTTATGGTTAACCAGACTAAAAAAAAAAAAGATGAAACCATATGAAAGATAAATGTCATTACACTGCATCCATCACCTCTCCTCCCCCATCCATTTCCACTTTCTGTCCTTGGTAGCCCTAACAATCATCCATGAATTGTTATTATCACCATCTATTGCAAACTGCTTCCCCATCTGGAATCTATCACACAGAACTGACAGAGACAGGGTGGGAATAGTGGAGAAAGTGTTGAACTTGAATGAGGAAGTTAGGAAGATAGGACTTCAAATCCCCCCTCTGACATTGACCCCCCCCTTTGCGACCATGGTCACTCATCCTTTCCAAGCCTCAGTTTCCTCATCTATAAAATAAAAAGGTTGGACTACATAGCCTCTAAGGTAGTCTTTTCCAATTCCAAATGTATGACCCTATGAATTTCATACTGTTCTTCAGGATAATCCTTGACTTGTATCATCCACATCTTTATCATTCATGTACCTCAGAGACAAGATTGACTGACGAATCAATCATTTATTGAATGCTTACTATGACCAAGATATAGTCACAGATTTTCCTTTTAAGTTTGTGGTGCAGTAAAAATACCAGAGCACTTCAAGTGAGAAGAACCCCTGATTTAGTGGCTTGGTGTAATGGACAGGGGATTAGACTAGGAGTCTGCAAGACCTGGGTTCAAGTCTCACCTCTGATGAGCTAGCTATGCCTTGACTTCTAAAAGTCACTCAAGCACTCCATACCCATAAAATGATGGCAGTCCAACTCGGTGGCCTCTGAAGTTTCTCCTAGCTCTAAATATATGATCCTGTGGCTATGGGAAATATCAGTTGGTTCATCAGTAAAATGGGGATAATAATTCTTATGCTACCTACCTCATAAGGGGGTTGTGCTGTTTGAGCTTAACACCACTGGCCCAGGAAACTTAAGAAGCAATTTTATAGTTAACCAGACTAAAAAAAAAAAAAAAGATGAAACCATATGAAAGATAAATGTCAACAATGGTTATTCCAGAGGGGCGTGAATGGCAAGAGACCTCTAGGATCTACAGAGGATGACATGACATTGTTACAAAAGGACATTAATGACAAACAGCACACCAGCTGCTGCCATTATTACTATCGACAATCTCCTGGTGCTTCCTTTCTTATCTAAGTTGAACAGAATCTGAATGTTGACTATGGTACCATCTCAAAAGGGCATTGAAAAAACAATATGATTGAAAAGAAAAGGATGACTTTGTCCTTAATGTCTTTTGTAATGCTGTCATGTCATCCTATCTAGATGCCAGAGGTCTCTTAGCCATTTACCCCCCTCTGGAATAACCATTGTTGACACTGATCTTTCATATGGTTTCATTTTTGTATCACTTCTGGTTAACTATAAAATTGCTTCCTAAGTCCCCCAGGCCAGTAGTGTCAAACTCAAATAGAAACAGATCCTGCTGGCAGTACACTGACTTGGAAAACCACAAATTTAGTGTTATCTGTATTGTACTATATTTTTACTTATTTTGTTAAAACACTTCCCAATTCTATTTACTCTGGGTCTGGGCACTTGGGAGTTTTTCCAGGGGGCTGCTTGTGCCGGGCTACCTGAATTTGACACCTCTGCCTTAGGCTATCCAATGCACAGAGTCTACTTTTGGAACTGAGATGAATAGCTCCAGATGTATTTTCTTCCTATTCTGTCTTTTTAGGTCCACAGCCCTTCATTCTCTGTCAGTCCCTTCCTGGGGGTTAGTTACATTTCTTCTTTTTTTTTTTTGGCTAGGCAATGTGGTTAAGTGACTTGCCCAGGGTCACACAGCTAGTAAGTGTTATGTGTCTGAGGCTGCATTTGAACTCAGTTCCTCCTGAATTCAGGGCCAGTGCTCTGTCCACTGCACCACCTAGCTGCCCCGTTAGTTACATTTCTGATGACCCTTCTTGGACTCCCCTTAAAAGGCGCACACTGTTGGTGCATGTCAAACCCTCCCTCCAGTCCTAAACTCTTCTTGACTTTTAGGGAGACACTCCATCACCGTCACTACTCTGACCTCAGCCGGGAACATTGGTGAGGATGGGATCCTGAGCTGCACTTTTGAACCTGACATCAAGCTCAGTGACATCGTGATACAGTGGCTAAAGGAAGGCGTCATGGGCATGGTCCATGAGTTCAAAGAGGGCAAGGATGATCTGTCCCATCAAGATGACAGGTTTAAGGGCCGCACAGCAGTGTTTGCAGATCAAGTGATAGTTGGCAATGCTTCTCTAAAGCTTAAAAATGTTCAGTTAACAGATGCTGGCACCTACAAATGCTACATCATCACCTCGAAGGGCAAGGGAAATGCCAAACTGGAATACAAAACTGGAGGTGAGTCATATCTAGAAAAAGGGAAAGGAAGTACCCTCCAAACTCATGTTGGTACATAGCAGGGATTGCTCATTAAAAGCAAAAAAGAAGCATTTTAAATGTCTTTAAAATTCAATTCAACATGCATTTATTAAGCATGTACATGCTCCTATATCGGTCTATAAGACAGGCAGTGTGGTGTAGTGGACAGCCAGCCAGCCTTGAAGCCAGGAGAAAGACCTGGGTCCATGCTACACCTCTGACCCAAAATGGCTGTCACAATCTCCCAGGGCTTTAGACAACTCTCTAAAACTCTTGAGTTGCAGACAAGGTGCCTCCTGCATTGATAGAGGAAGTTTCCTCAACTGGGAGTTCTCTACACCAACAACATGACAGGCCAATCCCTGTCCTGAGCCTGTTCAAGTCTATTATTATTTTTAGGCAATTGGGGTTAAGTGACTTGCCCAGGGTCCCACAGCTAGTAAGTGTCAAGTGTTTGGTCTGAGGCCGGATTTGAACTCGGGTCCTCCTGACTTTAGGGCTCTATCCACTGCACCACCTAGCTGCCCCTCAAGTCTATTATGTTGGGGTAAATGGAAGAAAGGAGCCCAAAGCCAGCATCCGTGTACAGTGTGAAGTGCACTGTCTTGGAATCAGAAGGCCTGGGTTCTAGTGCTGACTAGTCTAACAATGATGAGTTGTCTGATCTTGGGTAAATGCCTTCACTTTTCTAAACCTCAGCTTCCTAATCCATAAAATGGGCTAAGAATACTCAAAATACCTATTATCCAAAGTGTTATTACGTGGAGAATGTGTTGGAAACTTTACAGCCTTTCCTATGTGACCTTGAGTCAAATGCTTCCACAGTTCTGCCTGTAGCTATCCTTCCCTAGCCACTGCCAATGCCCTCACCCTCATTCATACCTTCCTTCCTCTCTTCTCTCCTAAAACATCATAACAGTCTTCAAACCAATTCTCTTGTCTTCAGTCTATCACTTCAAGCCATTCTCCAAGTCACTAAGTCACATCACTAATGCACTGCTATAACTATCAACCAAAACCTTTCTGTTTCCCCATCGCCTACCAAATAAAGTACAAACTCCTAATCCCAGAATTCAAGGCTTTCTGATCGGGTTTCAACCTATTCAAGCAGTCTCAGCTTGTACTCCTCCTCTTCCAGTACTCTCTGATGCAGCTCTTTATACTGCTGTCTTCTATCTACGCATCCTGGTTTATATCATCATCTCTGCTTGGAATAGGCTCTCTGCTCAACAACTCTACTTGCTAATGTCTCCTCTTTCCTTCAAGGCCCAAATCAGATGACATCTCCATAAAGTCTTCTTTGACCCCTTCAGGTGAAAGTAATCTCTGTCTCTCTCTGTCTCTCTGTCTCTGTCTCTCTCTCTCTCTCTCTCTCTCTCTCTCTCTCTCTCTCTCTCTCTCTCTTTTCAATTTTCTTTGAGCACTTTCATTTTCTTTTCTTACAAGGCAGTTGTATATTTGCCCATCCCCATGGAACTGTCTCTTGAGAGTGGGGTCTAGGTCAAACTATATTAACATCTCCAGCTTTTAGCAAAGTACCTTGCACATAGCAGACACAATACTTTTTTTTTTAGGCAATTGGGGTTAAGTGACTTGCCCACGGTCACACAGCTAGTAAGTGTCAAGTATTTGGTCTGAGGCCAAATTTGAACTCAGGTACTCCTGACTTCACGGACGGTGCTCTGTCCACTGAGCCACCTAGCTGTCCCCACAATACTTTTTTAAAAAATAAAACTAAATTGTACTCTACTTCTAGCGGGCTTCTATGAGCAACCAGACCTGCACTCAGGACCATGGGGCAGCCTGATGCCCAGGGCTAGGGATAGGTGAAAGGGCCATAGTTTCATTGGCTGGTGGGGTCCTCAAGACTCCTGCAATAGACCCCTAAGTGTTCTCCCTCTCTCAAGTCCCTCACTTTTCCATCCGTCCTCTTCACTCAATGCAAAAGTGATTTTCCTAAAGCACAGGTCTGATCATGTCACTCCCCTAAATAAACTACAAATGAATATAAGCCAATCAATGTTTTCACTTTTGAAATTTTACCCTGAAACCAAAGACTTGTGCCTTTAGTACTGACCTATGCCCTCCTACATGTCAGCCTTCAGCATCCCAGATGTGAATGTGGACTACAATGCCAGTTCTGAGAGTCTGCGCTGTGAGGCTCCCCGATGGTTCCCACAACCCACTGTGGCCTGGGCCTCTCAGGTTGACCAGGGAGCCAACTTTTCTGAAGTTTCCAACACCAGCTTTGAGCTGAATGCTGAGAATGTGACCATGAAGGTGGTGTCTGTGCTCTACAATGTCACTGTCAACAACACATACTCCTGCATGATTGAGAACGACATCGCCAAAGCCACGGGGGACATCAAAGTGACAGGTGGGTCCTTCCACATCTGCTCTTTGCATGGAATTGAAAGAACTCCGGATGGTTTAGAGAATTGATGGTAGATTGAAATTCAACTTGATTGGATTCAATAGCTATTTATGGGTCACCTCAGAGTTAAAGGATGTCCTTCTGTAATCTCTGCCACCATCAAAGACAGTTTTCTAACAATTCAAAGCAAGGCCAACACTAAGAGAATCACAGAAACAGATATTTCCCTGAAGCAGCTGCTCAGAAAGGCTGACTTCGTTCTGCTTGGGAGCTGATGGGTTTCGACTACACTGTGGGAATGCAATTTCCTCTGATGTGGCTCTTAGATCTAGCCTGCCCTCTAATATCTGAAAGATTATGAACACATCCAGTAGTTTATAGCCACATTAGAGTAGCTTAGCAGTACTGCTTGAGAGCTCTGCACCTACCTGGCCTCCCAGGTTGGGCAGACGCAGACCTAAACAGTCCCCAGAAGCACCCTGCTCTCCCTGGGTTCTTTCAGAATACAGCTTGTGGTTGGGCTAGTCTTTCAAGATGCTTCTCTAGACGGACTAGGACACCCTGGATTTAATATCAGAGCTGTGGTGGAATCAAATTGATCTCTAAGTAGCCAGGAAAATTTAACTCAGAAAATTCAACTGTTATTTACTCAGTCTATCATATCATGATCAACCAACATTGTTTTTGGTGCCTTGATTTTGAAGCCCTTGAAAAAGGAGTTGGTGAATGAGTTTGGGTCCAGCTCCCACTGAATGACTTTTCCCCTTATGTCACAAGGAACGTCCTTTGGCATATAAAGGGAAAGAATTGCATGAGCCATGGATGCTAGACTTTCATTTCATTCACAGACTTGGTCCTCTGGCTGCCCACAGGGGGTCAGTTTCAACAGGGGAATCAGACCTGTGGTCCAAGGACCCAAAGAAAGCATTTGGCACAGAACAGCACAGAAGTTATTAATTTTCACAGACCACTTCCTCGCTGTGCATATAGTAGGCACTCAATAAATATATACTGAATGAATGAACGAATGAATGAATGAATGAATGAATGAGGCAGTAGAACCTATGTGTTATGGTCTATTTCTTGCTATTGCTAACTTGGGTGACCTCTGGTAAGCCAATCTATTTCTTATGACTTTCTCAACTATAAAAAAGGATGGCATTTTCCACCTAAGCATTTTATAAGAGTGTTGGGAGGGTTAATGTTATAAAATCTGTAAACAGCTGAACACCATGCAAGAAAAGTGTTGTGTGCACACAGGGATTTGCCAAGAATGTGTTTACTGAGAAAATGAACTGCGGAAGTCTATTCTATTATTAGGCAATGTGTAATATTATTCTATTGGCAAAGCTTCTCATTTGATTGAGTGATCATGGGAATGGGCCCAAGAATGGAACTTCCTTTGAAGAAAGCTCTGCTCTTAAGCCAACTATAAGCTAAATAGTGGTCTGAAAAATGGCTCTTGTTAAAAATGATTTCTATTGTTTCAATGTTTGCTGTTTGCTAATGAACCATGTGAAGAAAAAAGCATCCAGTTTGCCCTCAATGGTATGTTTTTTCCTCCCTCTGCAGACTCTGAGATCAAAAAAAGGGGCCACCTACAGCTGCTGAACTCTGAAGCTACCCTGCTAGGCTCATCTCTCTGTGCCCTTGCTTGGGTACTTCTGCCCCTCACCCCTCACCTGATGCTCTTTTAGGTTCTCCGGGACATACAGAAACATACAGAATCACTGACAGAATAGGTAAGATGACCAGGAGAATGGCTTGGGAGACCATGTGTACGTGCATGAATGTACTTTCCGGAAGCTTTGCTCACAGTTGTTGGTCTCAGAGAACAATTAAGCAAATTCATGACTCAGGGCTCTATTTATTCACATACTTTACGGGATAATAGTGTTCGCTTCTAAGACTCCATACTCCAAATGCACCACCCCCTCTTTTGCAGAAGTGGGAGGACTATGGTGGAAGAATGCTGCATATACTGTCAGACATGTTGGTTAGTTTTTCTGAACGTTCTTTTCTTTTTCCTTTTACAATCTTTGTTAGAAGGGATGGCTTTCTGAGTAGCAAACTATCCAGAAGTGAAAGTGATACACAAAAAAGGTATCGATGATTTTTTGAAGACCCTATGCTCATGGGTTTAGAGTCAGCATTCCTTAGGAAAGGACCTCCTATTCTTCCTATGTTCCAACCCAGGGGTGGAATACCTGCAGTCTCAAGGCCACATGTGGCCTTCTAGCTCCTTGGGTGCAGTCTTCTGACTGAGTCCGAGTTTTACAGAACAGATTCTTTTATTAAGGGGATTTGTTCTGTGAAGTTTGGATTCAGTCAAAGGGCTGCACTTGAGGACCTCGAGACTGCAGGTACCCCACCCCTGTTAAATCTAACCCTTGCCTCTGCACCTTTACTCACGCCTTGGCCTGTTTCTAGAATGCCCTTTTCCCCATCTCTACCTTTTGAAATCCCACACATCCTCCAAGATTCAACATAAATGCTAACTTTCACATGATGCTTTGCCTGACTGTGATAGTTAGAAATAATCATCACTTCCCAAGTCCTCATGTACCTCTTCTATCTCTCATGCACTTTTTATGGTCTATTTTGTATTCATGAGACCCTAACCTCCTCGAGCCTCAGTTTCCTCATCTGTAAAATGCAGATAATACTTGCACTACCAACCACACAGGGTTGTCTTGAAGAAAGCACTTTGTAAAGTATAATGTTCTACAAAATTTGAGCTATTGATATTATCAATAGTTGTGTACATGCTTTATCTTTCTTCTAGGATAAGCTCATTTGAGTATAGGATGATGTTTTATTCATCTTTGTATCTCCTGAAAAACACAGTACTCTATACTATACATAGAAGACAATTAATCAATATTTAATTGAATTGAAATTTTATTGGACATATTTATAGAAACCTAGATATCTTTTACTGAAGGGCATCACATTCTTCAATGAAAGCAAAACAAATTAAGACAAATAAATGGTTAGCCCTGATCAGAGAAGGATAAAAAGACCTCACTAATATGTTAATTCTTCTTCAGTTCAACAGTCACTGAGCACTGTGACACATAGGAAAGGGTGTGCTAGAGCCAGCAGGACTGAATTTTCAATGTGAACATTTATATCTCAGAAATCAGCAAGTGCTACAAGCTTTAATGGCTTATAATGATGATTGATGTTATATCATCAATTATATTAGTAATACTCTTCTGCTGCTTTTTCTCCATTTTCCTCCCCATTCCAATTGATTATCAGAATCTTCCACAAACTCAGATTCCATCATTTCACTCTACTGCCTAAGACCCAATAATGGCTCCCTTTTCCTGTTGTCAGTCTGAAGCTCCTCATCCCAGTGTTAAAGTCCCTCCATTGACATTTCATTCTTTCTTATTACTTCTCAACATGGCCCTCCCCTCCAGCCAAATAATCATCTCAACTGCCTTTCCTCCTGCCATCCCTGGCACATGAAATTAATGAATTTGCTCCTCCTTCCTCTCTGACAGTGCATGCTTGCCATTCTTCCTTTGAGACCCATCTCAAAAATGACCTCCAAAGAGCCCTCCCAAGGGAGCCTCATCTTTCTGCTCAAACTCTGAGGGAAATTAAATAGAATTTATGCCACAATATCTTGTGCTTGTTTACGTTTCTTTATAAATATTCTCTAGTTGCCCGAATCATGAAAATATGCCTCACACAGGATGTAAGTTGCTTCAAGGGCAGACATGCTATCTTGGATTTCTTTTCACAGAACCACAATGTCTCCAAAGGAAGGGACCCCAGGGGCCATCAGATCCAAATCCTACCTGATAAGTGAACCTTCTATAGCCTACTGGACAAGCGGCCATTCAGCCTCTGCTCAGAAACTCCCAGAGAGGGGGAATGCAGGGCTTGCTTACTAAGGCATTCCATTGCCTCTCACACAGCTCTAATTGTTGGGAAGCCTTTTCTGGCATCAAGGCTACTACATTTGCTCCTTTGCAACTTCTATCCATTACTCCTGGTACTGCTCTCTTGGACCAAACAGAACAGATTTGATTCCTCTTCCACGTGACAACCCTTCAAATATCTGAAGACAGCTAGTGTGTGCCCATAAGGCTGCTCTTCTCCAGTCTTCTCCAGTCCCATCAGTCTTCACATGCCACGAACTTGGGCTTGTTCACCATCCCAGTTGCCTTTCTCTGGATGCTCTCTCCAGTTTATCTTTTCTAAAATATAATGCTCAGAAGTAAACACAAAACTACATATGTAGTGGGAATACATCAACCTATCCCACCTCCTTTATTCCTGAAAGCAGGCCCTTTTCAAGGGAGCTCAAATCACGTCATTGTGATCTGGCTTTTTTAGCTGCCAGATCACACCATTGACTCAAACTGAACTTGCAGCCCACTAAAACCTCAATATCTTCATCAAACTGCTATTTAACCATGGCTCCTTTCCCCCTATCTGGTATTTATTAAGTAGATTTGTTGATTCCAAGTGTAAGACATTACATTTATTCCCATTAAATTTCGTCCTACTGGACTTGGCTCAGTGTTCCAGCCTGTCAAAATCTTTCTGAATCCTATTCAGTCATCTAGTCATTCTTCCCAGCTTCGCATCATTTGAAAATTTGACATATAATATATGTATCTTTATCCAAATCATTAATTAAAATGTTAAAAATCATAGGGCCAAGCACAAATCCTTGGGGCACTCCACTGGAGACCTCCTTCTGAGTTGCAACAGAACTATTAATAATTACTCTGGATCCAGCCAGTTCACTAAGTCTAAGTCCATCTAATTGTACTATCATCCAGTCCACATTTCTCTATCTTTCCCATGAAAATGTCATGAAAGACTCTGTCAAACGCTTTGCTGAAGTAGGCACACCACATCTGCCACCCACCTTCTCTTGGTTCCCCAATTTAGTAATTGTATAAAAGGAGGAAATGAGGTTAGTCTGGCACGAGCACATCTGTAAATAAGGCAGCTGGACTCTAGGGCCTCTGAGGTCCCTTCCAGGCCTAAGTCTGTGACCCCACGACCTGCTCTTGAGGAAGCCACACTGTCTCTTTGTGAACATTCCTTCCTCTTCCAGATGTTCAACAACCGTTCCCTTAACAATATGCTCTAGAACTTTGCCAGGAATAGAACTCAACCTCGCTGGCCTGTAGTTTCTATAGACTTCATCTTCTTCATTTTTTGGGAATGGGGGATTTTTCCTTCTCCAGTGCTGCAGTACATCTCACTCCCCTTCTCCAAGACTTTTCAAAGGTCACTGCCAGTAGCTCAGCAATCACATCTGCCAGTGTTTCAGTGCCCTAGAATGTAGTTCCTCTGGGCCAGGCACCTCAAGGTCATCAAAGGCCACAATAGTTCTCTTACTACCTACTGATAGAGTAAACAAAACAGAAACAGAATAGAAAATGAGTAGACCTGCTCAATTAGTTTTTGTTTCTCCTTGCTAAGTGCACAATACAACTCTATGCACATAAATATTTGTTGAACAAATAAATGGATGAATGACACCTTATTGCTATTTTTTTCAGAGTCCCCAAAACCTCTTGAAGACATGATTTTTTTTTAACATGCTGCTTCTTTTTCTAGAGGGTACATGCCTTCACTGCTGGAAAGCTGGATTGAATGAGTAAGATCAAGAAGCAAGAAAGAAATAAAAAGCAACTCGTGAAACACACCAGTGTGTAGACAATTAACCCATCTTCCTCTAGGAAGGTTCATAGCTTGGAAAATGATTCATCTGAAACAGAGAACCATCTCAGTGCCCTTCTACAACTACCTGGACACAATGACTTTCCTGCCAAAACTGCCTTCCCCTTCCTCCTGCCACGTCACGGACAGACCCCTCCCCTCATAATTCCTGGATGACCACTGGCATTTAGGGCAACTCTAAAGATGCTCTAAATTTCACTTCAAATGTCCATTATAAAATGTATCCTGGGCTTCTTGAACTGCCTGCAGTGCAGCATGGCCCTAGCCCCAAAGGGACTGTATTTCAGTGGTGGGCCAAATATCCCAGAGTGCTTTGTTGTCCTCTTCCTACTTGTTGAGCACCAATGAAATGTAAGATATTTTCCTTCGTTGAGTGCACAAAATTATTTAGGTGCTTCCCCCCTCAATAATCCTTAGGCCCCCAAGATTTAGAGCTAGAAGAGACCTTAGAAATCACCCAGTCCAAGTCCTTCACTTGATAAATGAGGAAACAAAGCCCCAGAAGGGGAGTCACTTGACTGAGGTAACATAGGGTTGGGCCTGAGGCCCAGGTCTTGGTCTGCCACAAAAGAGAGGTCTAGCTCTCTTTTCATGACCCCAGGACTACCTCATATTCCATTCTGCTGCTTCCTGGGACTCAACTTTTCTGCTACAAAGAAATTCATCCTTACTAGTCCAGAGAAGCCACTGACTGTGTCTGATGTGAGGAGATCTTTAGGACTGTGGCCATTTTTGCTCTGTGAGCAGCTCTCAGCAGCACTCAGAGGAGAACAATTCCAGGAAAGAAGAGGGAAGCAGCACAGTTTCTCCACTGCCGAGGGATGCCCCGTCCTCAGGCTTGTTGGGTACAAGGACAAGATGGGCAGCCTGCCCAGGCCTCCACGTCTGGTGATCACACGGCTGCTATCTCCAAGAGACCAGTATCAAGATGTAGATAATGGGAAAGCCCTGCATCATTCTAGCCCACTCTGGCTACTTAAATTCCTAACGTCTTCCCTGCCTTTTGTTACAAACCAAGACCCTGCCCCAAGAAGGAGCCTCCCAGTTTGATCCTCAGAATCAAGCTTAGCACAAAATGTAATGAAAGGCAACACAAATATGCTTCCTGACAGAGGGATCAAGCAGTGAGCCCTCAAGACCAAGAACTAGGGGTGAAGAGCTGGGGCCAAGGGAATATTTGTTTCTGGTTCCCTTCTTCCCTTACTGTGTTTTGTGTGTACTAAGAGTCATCACTTTTCCATGGGAGGTCACGGTTCAAGATTCTATTTCAAATCTATTGTAGGAAACTTGACTTTCAGATTTCTCTGAGTTGTTAAATTTACATTTCCCATGCCCATTCTCTGCTGGCTAACCAGGCCAGAGAAATTAAGGGCAGGTGAAAGAACTGACAGGGAGGTCTGAGAAGTGGGGGGGCTTTGAGTGCTTATGGACATGTGACTATGTGAAGCCATACCGCTTCCAGGGGATCACTGGTTTAGAAGGCAGTACTGGGGAGGCAAAGAGGAGGAAAGTGGGCCCCCAGAGGAAAGCTGACCAATGAAATCCCATCAGATCTGATCCTAGGGAAGCACTCTGGACCTGTGGTCCAATGGGGAAACTCCCAACACGGAAACTCAATTCCAGGACACATCAACAAGGCACTGGGAGGTTAAATGGTTTGTCCAGAGTCACACAGCTGATAGTGCCAGAGGCAGCCCTTGTACCCGGGCTTACCTAGTTACAAAGCCAGCCCTTTATACATTATGCCATACTGGTTTTATAATCTTTACTAGTGAAGAGTCAGATTCATAGAATGTTAACATCAAATAAGACCTTATAGATGACAGTCCAGAACTTGGAAGGACCTCATAGGCCAGCAGAATCCTCTCTTCTCCACTACACAAAAAATCTGGCCCAGTTCAACACATCTTGAAATTTAAGAAGTGGGGCCCAGAAAGGGTCAATGACTGGTCCAAAACTATAAAGTGAATTAGTAGCCCACCCAAGACTACAAACTTGTAGAATCCTTACTAATTGTCTACTACTAATTGTAGAGTCCTTACTAACACAGTCTAGGGGTGGGGCACAAGAAACTTGCTATTCTTTTTTTTTTTTTGGCTAGGCAATGGGGTTAAGTGACTTGCCCAGGGTCACACAGCTAGTAAGTGTTATGTGTCTGAGGCCAGATTTGAACTCAGGTCCTCCTGAATCCAAGGCCAGTGCTCTATCCACTGTGCCACCTAGCTGCCCCTAGGAACTTGCTATTCTTCAGACTGCTACACACCACAGCTTAATGCCAGGCAAGTCCTTTGCTAGCCAGGCCTCGGGGAACCAAGTAGGAGAAAGATTCAGGTCCCCCTCTCCAACAAATTCTACCTATACCCATCAACATTTAGTTACTGACCACACACTCAACTCCTCTGGTGATATCTATACATCATACAAGCTGAATGCAAAATGAATGCAAATGCGAGGAATGAAGCAAATGATAGCCACTGGGAAAACCTGGGAAAAGACCAACTCAGATGCCCAAGTGTACTCTCCCTTTGCAAGGGAACAAACAAGTCAAACCTCAAGGCCTCCGGTTACCCTTGGGTTGTGTGGAGGATTGTTTTGAGAACACATAGAGGTCTGTGCATTGAGCCTGCATGGGGTGGGGCCTTTTTTGTCTGAGGGGGTGACTGTATTTTGAAATGTGTGATGTGCTTCTGGCATATTTAAGAGCTATGCATTTCCCAGACTCCCTCTGGCTGCTTAAGTCATGCCAGCCATTCAATCACCGCCCAACAAGACTGACTTTACTGCCTCCCCTCCTGTGGCAGTTTGCTTCTTCTTTGGAACTGGTCTTGGTTTGTATTTTTCATACACAGAGCTGGAACCCTGGATGGAGCAGAGACTGGGAAATCCTAAGGGAATCCCAGAGAAAGGAGCACGGCCTCTCTATCCATTCTAAATGCTGCCTTGTTTCCCCATCCTCTGCTTGAAGTCCCTCTCTTCCTTAGGTCCCACCTGCTCTTCAAGGCCTCACGAGGTTTGGCAGCAGTCAGAAAAGTGCTAGCCTGACTCTGCATTCTCCTGCTCTGTGACTGGGACAAGGCATTTCCTTGTTGGGTCTCAGTTTTCACCTCCGTAAAATAAGGGGATTAGACCAGATCACCTCAAAGGTGTCCCTGCCAGCTTACATCTATGTTTTGAAGTGCTTCCTCATCCATGAAGTTCCCTCGGACTGGTACAGTCCTCATCGACCTCCCCTCCCCTTGAATTCCTACTAAAGTTGTCTATACCAAACAATTTAAAACTAGTATAGAATGTCTTCTATTGCATGGTATGTTTCACGTGTGTATGTCTTATCTTCCCAGCTTATAATGTAAGCTCTCTGAAAGCAGGTACTACATCCTTCACTTCTATATTCCACACACTGCCAAGCGAATTGTAGATGACCAATAAAGACTTGCTAAAGACTTACTGCTCCAATATAGAAGTGGCCAAATTTACTGACTGTACTAGCCGTAACATTCAGAAGTCTGGAGGGCCCCCAACATGCTTGATCTTCATAGGACTGTTTTGGTCCTTAATTTTCAGCTGCCATGCCCCACTCCCATCCAGCTTCTCCAAACTTCTACCTCCACTCTGATGAAGCATCTGTTTACCAGAGTAACTGCTAAAGCCAGCTTCGGGCTTCTGGGTTTGATATGTGAAGGAAGCTAAGGAATCTGGATTGATAAGTCCAGCTAGCTAAAGACCATGGAAAGGAGAACCTGGCTGAAGAAAGAGATGGCTAAAAGAAGACAGTCTCCCTGGTACTGATTCATGGAGGTAGAACCATAGGTAGAATGTAAGGTTCCTGACACCCGCCATGACGACCACAATCCCTCCTTTTTCTCCCTTGATATAAGTACAGGGAGTATGCCATTCTCCATCTGAGGCCTCATCATAGAGTAGTGGTGGCCCTCAATTCTCAAAGGTTCTGCCTGGGAAGTGTAAGCCCTGGCAAGTACTACACCAAACTGGGAAGATTTAAGGTACAGGTTGGACCATGGCACCTATTACCTGAGGATGAGCTTATCTAAGGGTGGGGAGAGGTTCATGATCCAAGGTTGGCTATCAGGTGAGGAAAGTTTGAGGGAGCTACAAAAACACTAAGACAAGGAGGGTCTGCACCTGCATTGGTGGAGGGAATACACACAGAGATGAAGTACAGTACAATTATGCCTAATAATTCTTTGAACTTGTGTAATACTTCACTGTTTACAAAGTACGTTCATACACAGTATTTAATTTATTCCTCACAACACAATGAATTAGACCATGATTGGGACCATTTTTTCATTTTACAGATGAGAAATTGAGGCACAGAGGTTCACATAGAATTTTAGAATTTGAGCATTGGAAGTGATCTCTGGGGTGATCTTAATTCAACCTGTACCTAACCAAGACTTCCCTTTACAATACTTCTAATAAATGGTTGTCTAGCCTTCTGTTAAAGACCTCTACTGAAGAAGAACTCATTACCTTCAAAAGCATCCCATGTTGCTTTTGGACAGCTCTACTTATTAAGAGGTTTTACTATATATCAAGACCAGATCTATGTCACTGTACCTCCCACAAATTCTCCTTACCGTTCTGTCCACTGAGGCTAAGCAGAACAAGTCTATTCCCATTTCTGCAAGACAGCTCTTAAAATCTTGAAAGACTTTCTATCAAGATGTTTTCTGCTCAGTCTTCCTCTTTTCCAGAATAAATATTCCCATTTCCTGGAACTAATCATGGTATCTTTGATTTTGTCATCCTGGCCCCTCCCCTCTGAAATGCAGCTGTT